ATGAGTTTGGCTTCTCTTGTATCTATAGCCCAAACACCACTGATAGTGAAACAGATAGTGCCAAGGGACAGGAGGAACATGAGTGCCAGCATATGTTGATAGTAGAACTTGCCGCTGGAGATGCAGTCTTGGTAGAACTAGCAGGACTTTGGTCAGAAACGGAAGCTCTGCAGGATAGACCAGCTGGAGTTAAGGAGGGACTCCATTTGCACCACAAGCTCATGAAGCATAGCTTGTTATAGCTCCTAACAGGCTTGTGGCAGGAACCCACTGTGATGAATGGAGCAGAAGCAAATGACAGCCAGGGCAGTCACTCGGTAGTAACATAGAACTGAGTCAGAGTCAGGAGCTTGGCCATATGGATAGCCAAGGTCAGCAGCAGGAGGGCAGCGAGGTTCAAAAGCATAGACACAATAAAGTCATAAGCAAAGCTGAGGTCAGTAATGGGTAAACAACAGCTGGGACAGGATCCAAGATCAGTGTAAAAGGCAAGCTTGGTCATCAACAGAAGACACACACAGGACTCTAGCAGGATACAGCTGAAGACCAGTCAGCACTGATAATGAAAAAAGGCATCCTTTAAATAGGCCATTTGGTGCCAACATTGATTGTGGATGTGCTTGCACATTCACGCACAGCACATATACCTTTGCACATGTGCATGCCTGATCACAGTTCTCCATGCGATACCATGCCCAAAGTTAAGTTTAGAGCATAATACAAATGGTTACAAGGTATATTTATACAGTATATACAACATTTGGAGGTTTCAAAATTCTCTCACATTTCACAAAAATGGCCTGGGATTTGCAGCCATAAGTGCAGTCTGTTTTTTCCAAATGTCAAAATTTAGATCTGAGTGGAGTCTGATGAACTGAGTTGCCTGCTAGCTTTCTCTTCAGAGCTACCTTAGTGAGATCCCCAATGATTACAACCTCATCTGCTGTTCACTTTAGATTTTTAGTTTTTTTCACTTACTTTGGATGTTTTCATGAGTTGTGTTGGGTTGTCTGTTATATACAAAAATATCTTAGACCTTATTTAGAATACTGTTCTGAAGTCCTCACTTACAAAAACATATTGGTAAGATAGACTGAATCTAGAGACGGGTAACATAAGGAGGGCAGTATTTTAAATTTTTAATATGAAGTAAGATCAAGAACATGGGAACATGGCCTCAAACTAGCAGGAAGAAGGTTCAAAACTAATCTTAGAATCTATTATTTTACTAAAAGAGTAGTTGATGCTTGGAATAGACTTCCAGCAGAGGTAGTAAGCCAGACAACAGTAAGTGGATTCAAACATTCATGGGACAAACATGAATCTATATTAGAAAAAAAAAAGGTGGGGCAGACTCGAAGGACCGCTTGGCCTTTTTTTCTACTGTCCTTTGTTTTTAAAAATCAAACAGGTAGAGTGTGAGTTTGTTGTAATGCAAAGTTGTGCAGACCCAGCACCTCAAGAGTAGAGAGCCCATCATCAGAGTTCCTGAGATACATAAGAAGCTCTAAGGGGGTTTAAATTGCCAGCATCTACTACACACTGAAATCTCACTCCCACTCACTCTTGGGTTAACTGACCTTTTACTTGTAAACTAAAAAGATTCAGCTTACCCCTCATGCACACTGGACATTTGATAACGCTCGTAACGTTAGCTGTGTAACAGTCAGATTAAAAAGTGAGTTTTTCAGCTTTTTTTTTAGCATTTTGCATTAGCGTTTAGTGACGTTTTGCCTCGATTAGCGGCGTTTTTCCACGTTTGTGTTTATTAGCATTTTTTAGCTTTTTTTTTAACCAAAAAAATTTATTTTTGTCCAAAAATGACGGTTTGCAGCGTTTTACTGTGTTTGCCATGTTTTTCAGCGTTAGACCGTTTTTATAGCTAAAAAAAGTCCTCTAGAAACCCACTGTTTCTAGGTTTTTTTCCAGCCAAAAATCATCCCAGCCAAAAAACGTTGATTGCAGTTTATGTATGCATGGACACATAGGATAACATGCTGGGGGGTTTACTAGCTGTAGAAAAAAACGTCAGAAGCCAAAAACAGCAGCTGTAAAAACATCAAGTGCGCATGAGAGCTTATTACTAAAAAAGAAATTTACACAGATAAGGTAAGTGGTTGTTATACATGTAGCTTTATAATTACAAACATGACTAAAACTTTACTGCTAAATCTAGCCTTGGCCCATTAATGAATAGGACCATGTTAAAAAGCTAAGACTGACTTTAGACATGAGATGGCTGTCATCCAAACTGGTCATTAATGGATTTTCCTGATATTGTAAGCAGGGCTGTATTTGTCATAATGGCACATGTGGGGTCAATACGTAAGGCAGCAGCAGTGTTAGAGGAGGTAGCACCAAGTCTCAAAATTCACAAATTGTGTGTTTGTTTTTTAAAATTTTGCAAGCAAACTTCAGGAAGAAGAAACCATGGGACATGTTGAGTGGAGTCAAGAGATTTGTTATAATTCAGGAAACCATCACTCCTTTCTTTGTCTGGTGTTCTGTGAAATATAGTTCTGCATATAAAGAAGACCCTATGCTGCCTTCAGTTGTGCATTCTAATATTAGTTCTTACTAAATATCCCCATGCCATAATAATCCCCAAATCTTTCACCCTATACACTCCCCTATATGATGGTAGACACCACACAGCCATCTTGACCCTCTCTTCTCTCCCCCTCCCTTTATATATCCTTTTTTCTTTCTCTTATTTTCCATCTTTATTCCCCACTGTGTTCTGAATGTCTCTACAGTATAACACCCTGATACATTTTGCTATTGAGAAACTATTATTATTTTATATTCCATTTATGTTCTGTGTTAATGAAGAATGCTTTGATGATTCTGATATTAGCAATGAATACTTTTGCCAAACCATCCTCTGAGGACTCTGTATTGTCCTTTTTCTGTGTTTATCTCTGCTGTATCTAAGCTATGGTAATGTTAACAGAAATCTCATCTCTGGAAACCTTTAGAATGGTTTTACTGGTAAAAAACAAGATCTTTCAGAAGACAGACATTTAGGCCATATACTGATATAGCTAGTCATACCTGTCATCTCCACAATTGCTAGAAATAGCTTATACATCTGTAAAATGAAAGACGTTCTAATTACTTGCATCACATTTACCAAAATATCTCAGTGGAGATCCATATCGATTTTTCCAGACTTATTCAGAAATGCCTTGTTCCATCCCAATTGTCACTATACAAGACACCCCTGGGTAATTGTCAATTATCATTTTTATTTTATTTATTTTTGCTACTTTTTAAAAGAGTGCTATTCGCGTACCTTTTTGGCATAAAGAAGACTCCAGCGCGGAATAAAGCGTCCGCCAAGAGCTCATTCCAAAAGCACTCCCATCTCCTGTTGTCCAGGACAAGTTGCTTCAGCAGAACAGTCCAGGGTGGATTAAACATCCACCAAGTGGCGTTCTAGGACACCATCGCCAGTGGCCCATTGCAGTCATACGGAAATGGGACAAGGAAAATCATGCCACCAAAACACTTCCAAGAAGATTAAATCCTCTGGCCAGCACAGGAAAAGGTCTTCTACCTTTTCCAGAGCCTCTTCTCCAACCCACCCTGAAGTGGCAGCTTGTTGGGGCTATTCAGTTGAGGCATTGCCGGGCAAATTGGTGAGCACATCCTATCTTAGGTAGGGGGTACGTGACAAAGCTGCAGACGCACAGCAAGTATAATTGTACATTAGAGACACAGCAAAAAGAGTTCTCCACCCAAAGGATAGAGAAAATACTACCCAGATTTAAAAATAAAAAAAAAGAAAAAAAGACAGTTCCTTCTTTCCCTTTGATATTTGAAATGCAAGAGCCCATTAAGGATAAATGAGTAAAAAAACCTAACAAAAGATTAAATGTCTATAACAGAGTTTCAAAGTTATACCCGTTTTGTAAAAGAGATGGCAAAATATTGGAATATAGTTCCCAAAGTAGCCACCTCTTTACAGAGATAAGCCTGCCACATAACACTTGCACTTGAAGGTTCTGTGTTGTTTAGTGATCTAATGGACCGCAATATTGATACACATGTAAAGAGGAGGTACACTGTGATGGGACCATCCCCTATGGCCCTCAGAGTTTGGGTGGCAGAAATGGAGTCCATGGGGTTCAGGAGAAGTGCAATTCTTCAGGATAGCTGTGGACTTCATTGCTGAAGCGGCAGTGGATCTAGACAGAATGATAGCAAAGTTAATGGCTCACATAGTAACACCAAAAGAGCCTTATGGCTATATCATTGGTCTGCTGACAATGCCTCTAAACACAGCTTTGGCTCGATTCTATTTCATGGGAAGCTCCTTTTTGGCAAGACCTTTAACCACTAGCCTACAGGGCACTTATACATTTATACAGGGCACTTCGCGCCCGGGCCAATTTCCAGCTTTCAGCGCTGTCACATTTTGAATGACAATTGCACGGTCGTGCAACACTGTACCCATATGAAATTTTTATCATTTTTTTTGAGACAGATAGAGCTTTCTTTTGGTGGTATTTAATCACCTCTGGGATTTTTATTTTTTCTTAAACAAACCAAAAACCACAAAAAAGTTTGAAAAAAAAAAAAACGTTTTTTCTTAGTTTTTGTTATACAGTTTTGTAAATAAGTGATTTTTCTCCTTCACTGATGTGCGCTAATGAGGCTGCAGTGATGGGCACTGATAGGCTGCACTGATGGACACTGATAGGTGGCACTGATGGGCACTGATGAGGAGGCACTGGTAGGTTGCACTGATGGGCATTGACAGGCATTACTGATGGGCACTGAAAGGCAGCACTGATACATGACACTGATACATGACACTGATATATGGCACTGATAGGCGGCACTGACTGGCACTGATAGGCAGTACTGACTGGCACTGATAGGCGGCACTGACTGGCACTAATAGGCAGCACTGACTTGCACTGATGCGCACTGATAGGCGACACTGACTGGCACTGATTGGCAGCACTGATAGGTGGCACTGATTGGCAGTGATAGGTGGCACTGACTGGCACTGATGGGTGACATTGAAAGGCAGCTCAGATGGGCACTGATATGTGGCATTGATGTGCACTGGTATGCACTGACATGTGGCATTGATGTGGCACTGATGGGCACTGGCACGTGGCACTGATGGGCACTGGCACTTGGCACTGATGAGCACTGACAGGTGGCACTTCTGGGGCCACACTGATCATCAGGACACACTGATCATCAGGACACACTGATCATCAGTGCCCTGATGATCAGTGTACATGTCCCCTCCGCGGAAAGCCGATTACCAGCTCTTCTCTCCTCTCGAGCTGTCAGCGTGACAGATCGAGAGGAGAGAAATGCCGATAACCGGCATTTCCGTGTGTTTGCATGTGATCAGCTGTGATTGTACACAGCTGATCACATGACCGAGCCGACATCTTCAGCTCTTTCCGTGATCTGCTGTGTCCGAGAGACACAGCACACCGGCGATCGTCGCGCTGCGTGCTCCCTGAGCCCGCGCATGCGCAGTGAGAATGGTAGGACGTCATATGACGTCCTATCAGAACGAGAGAACCACCTTGCGCCCGTCATTGTACTATAGGGCAGGCGGAAGGTGGTTAAAGCTGCCATTCAACAGGTATCCAGTGGGAATGTCAGGTCTTATCCTGCAGGAGAAGAGATGGCAACGTCAGTCATCTCGCTCTTTCAGAAGAGTTAAGAATCATTTCAAAGAAGCTAGTGCATACAGGCCTGGTGGGCCATTTTTTAGACATTGGGAAAATGACAGTGCAGCATTTCCCAAGGGAGTCAAGTTCAAATCAAGCCAGCCGGTTAAGACTTCTGAGAAGGCCTTCGGAAGGTGTCTCTGCCCAGCCCTCTCAAGTGGATATCTGTTCGGGTATCAATGTGTCCAGACAAACTGAATTGTTAACAGCTTAAGCTATTTTTGCTGTACCAAGACAAGAATAGGGCGAAGACATGTATTTCTCTTTGGTTCTGGTGCTCAATTCCTCAGGCATTTTAAGACAAGTTCTAGACCTGGAATATCTGAATTCCTCTATGAAGGCCCCTCCTTTCAAGATGGATTCCTTGGAGACCATCATTTCAGTAGTAAAAGTCACACACTGGATTGCCTCAGTGGATTTGGCAGGTACCTATCTGCATGCCCCATAGTTCTGGCTCATTATCTCTTTCTCAGGTTTGCATACAAGGGGCACTTTTCCAGTCCGTTCTTTGCCATGCAGCTTTTGCACTGCTCCCCGAGCCTTCACAAGACTGCTGTCAGCCATCATAGCTTTTCTGAGACTCAGGGGTCTTCATATATTTCATTACTCCAATGTCATCCTTCTGTTGGTCCTGTAGAGGAGTCTTCTGATGGATCACGTGCCTCTAACCTGTAACACACTCAAATGCTTTGGGTGGATAATCAATCATCAAAAGAGTCAACTGCAACCAACGCAGGTCCTGCTATATCTTTCTCACCCAGTAAAAAAGTCCAAAAACTCCAGACTCGGATGAGGGAAGTAATGAGTAGGCCTTGCATATTGGCAAGAGTGCATACAGTACCTGGGCCTTCTGTTATCCACCATCCCAGTTTTTCCTTGGGTCAGATGCTGAAGAAGGAAGTGTCAGTTCACTTTCCTTCACCAGTGGGATCATCATGTATTGAACCAGAAGATCCTCATACCAGGTCCGATAACCCGTTTATTAACCAGGTGGACGGTTTTTGTGCAATCGGAAGGGCAGGGTCCCTCTCAAGCCTCCAGAATAGGTTGGGGGAGCCCACAGCTTTGGTCACCAGATTCAAGGTTGTTGGAAGAGGCAGACTATGCAGAGTTCCTATCTGCTAGAGTTAGTAGCTTCCCAATTCACTCTGCTAGCATTCCAGTATCTGTTACACAGAAAAGTGGTGAAGATGCTTTCAGAAAATTGGACTCCAGTGGCTTACTTGGCCTGTCAAGGGGGCAGCAGAAGCTTGCCTCTCCTGTGAGTAGCCTGTCAAATCTTCGTTTGAGTGGAAGGGAATTTACCCTTTCTCCATACCTCCCATTTCAGGATCCACAAGCCTTGGGCCAAGATGCCCTTTCCAGGCCATGGAGGTTTCACCTAGTGCACATCTTTCCTCCAATCCCTCTAATTCTAAGGGTTCTCCTGAAGATACAATGTGAAGTGGGGACAATAATAGCCTTGCTCTTTTGGCCAAGCTGGCTTTGGTTTCCCTTTGTATAGAGGATAAGGTTAGAACAACCAATTCCACTCCCAATTTGTTTGGATCTCCTGGTTCAGAGCAGGGTGTTCCCTCTGAACCCTGCAAGACTGAAATTAATGGCTTGGAAGTTGAGAGGTGGTCTCTAAGACATCTGGAGCTGTCAAAGGGCTTAGCTGACACCTTGTTGCAAGCTAGGAAAAAGTCAAATATGGAAAGGTTCTTCTGGCAAAAATTGGATTGCTTCAACTCCCTCGGTATCTAATGTTCTTAAATTCCTGCAAAACAGTTTAAAAGCGGCTTGGTCGTATAATTAGTTGCAAATTCAAGTTTCAGTCCTCTTGGCCATGGCAAGTAAAAGATGGGCCTTTAACCCTTTGGTCATTCATCTTCTGAAGGCAGCAATGAAGATTAGATCACTAGTGGGAATTTGTCACTTGGCTTGAATGCCTTGCTGGCACCATTTTAACCGATAACTTTGTGTTCCTTATTCCATGTGGCTCTGAGCACATTTTTCCTGATGGCAATTGCTACCGCAAGGAGAGTATCGGACATGTATGCATTTTTAGCTAGAGAGCCATACTGCTGGATCCTCCAAGACAGGGTTATTCTGAGACAGGTCCCAAATTTCTTCCAAAAAGTTTCAACTTCATTCCATATACTGTAAGTTGAGAGTCCGTATTTTCACCTTTTCTGGAAGATTTGTCAGAGGATGAGTGGAAGGAGTTAGATCTGGTTCATTCACTTTCATTATATCTGAAATGCACGGAGGACATCCGTGAACTACATACTCTTATACCTTCCATAAAGGTCCAAGGAAGGGCTTCACAGTACTACCCAAGATCATGTCTTCATGGATTGTCAAGACCATTCAGACTGCCTACAAATCCTAGGTTTGCCACCTTTGGAAGTGAGAGCTACTTCAACGAGAAGCATCTCAATCTCATGGGCAGCATAAGCTAAAGTGTCAGCAAAGGTGGTTTGAAGGGCAACAAGCTGGAGCACGGCAAATGCATTTATTTGCCACCACATAATGAGTATGGCTTTTCCATCGGTGCAGTCTTTTTTTGTATCTACAGTCATTGCAGCGGCTGTCAGTAATAAGGGTTTATTTGCAGCATTCAGTTTGTTTGTGTCTTGTGTTTTCCTCTCCCTTTGTTCCTTTTAGCATTGCTTGGTACATCCCATGGTAGGCTGACATAGGGAGATCCAGGAATAGGAAAAATTGTATTCCATACTTACCATAATTTTCCTTTCCTGGATCCTCCTCATGTCAGCCTGGGATTCCCACCCAGTCTCCATCACGAGGAGCGATATGTTGAATGCTGAGTAAGGGGAGACAGCCACACTTATGGGCTAGGAAAGAGGTTGTCCTGGAGGGGTCAGAGAGGGCAGAGCTGACCCGTGGTAGGCTGACATGGAGAGGATCCAGGAAAGGAAAATTACAGTAAGTATGGAATACAATTTTCCCTAATATATTCAATATGTATATGCCATCCCCCAGTTATAACTAGAAACTTGGTGGAATATAAAATGTTCAGGTTATTCTTATGAGTAGGCTCAATTCTTTCCTGCTACTTCTTAGCAAATGCTTACTTAATGGCATTTCCATTACTATAGATACTAATTCTGCTTTGTGACAGCTGCACTAAACAAAACATTACAGTCAGTAGATAAGCACTTCCATGGATTACTATGATTTCACTTTGTTAAGGATCTCATTTACAGTATGGTTTTATCGAAAATATGATTACTTTGAAATAAATTGTTAGCAAACATATGACTGTTTAATTAAAATCAAATAAATGTTTGTTCTGAGCAGTGCACAAATATATGTCATCTGATGTTTTAATCTAATTAATTTGTATGAGATACTAGTATTCCAAACATTTGTTATACACATAAAAGCATGTTGTGTTCCATTTACTGACACCCACTCAGGATGCTAGACTCATCTAGGTGGTGCTGCCCACAGCGAACAATTTAACTCTTTCTTTCATGGTACAACAAGAGTGCAAGAGTGTATACAGTACATGGGCCTTCTGTTATCCACCATCCCAGTTGTTCCTTGGGTCAGATGCTGAAGAAGGAAGTGTCCAACATCCAACAGAAGGATGACATTGGGGTAATGAAATATATGAAGACCCCCTGAGTCTCAGAAAAGCTATGATGGCTGACAGCAGTTTTGTGAAGGCTCGGGGAACAGTGCAAAGGCTGCAAGGCAAAGAACGGACTGGAAAAGTGCCCCTTGTATGCAAACCTGAGAAAGAGATAATGAGCCAGAACTATGGGCATGCAGATAGGTACCTGCCAAATCCACTGAGGCAATCCAGTGTGTGACTTTTACTACTGAAATGATGGTCTCCAAGGAATCCATCTTGAAAGGAGGGGCCTTCATAGAGGAATTCAGATATTCCAGGTCTAGAACTTGTCTTAAAATGCCTGAGGAATTGAGCACCAGAACCAAAGAGAAGTACATGTCTTCGCCCTATTCTTGTCTTGGTACAGCAAGCTTGTCTTGGTACACCATGGTTTCATGGTGTTGAGCTAATTAGGTGTGAGTTGCTCATTAACATTTCTTTTGTTTCCAAGAGTGGGAAGGTGGCTGCTGGAGTGAGTCATTAAGGTAACCTAACAGGGGGTCTTCATGAGGAATTTGAGGTGTGAATGGGCATTAACATATCTTTTGTTTCCAAGGGTGGGTGAAGTCTGAGGTGTAAACTGGTCATTACAATGTGTGACTAGCTTGGTAGGAACATCCTGTGTTCAGTGTTTTGTCCATCTGAGCACCTTGAGAACTCTTTGCATGCATTTTTCATGAAGGAAAAAGGCTCTGGACATAATTGGGAACTGGAAGAGTTAAAAAAAAAAAAATTTCAAACGCAAATGCTTACACGTTTAAAAGCATTTTGCATTTGAAACGCTGATAAAATCGATGTGTGAACGCAAGTTTGTTGCGTTCAAAAAAACGACTGTAAACTCAACTGCCTGTAAACGACTGTAAACGAAGATGTGCACATGGACACATAGGAAAACATTAGAGTTCAGGGCTGCTGACAAAAACACTGAACAGCTCCTAAACGTGAGTTTAGCAGCTGCAGTGTACATGAGCCCTTAAATGTTTAAAAGGGTGATAGGTTCACTTTAACCAGTTGTGGACCTCCTAGA